GCATAAATCTGCATCAGGGTCCCCTCCCTGATGCATGTCCGCAGACTTGCCGACTGTGTCCTCAGCCTCCCCCCTTCACTGGTCATGCATACCTACCTACCTACTTGTAGAACAACAACTGTTCTTTCTTCACATGCGCATGTCTTAGGTAATGCAGCCAACGACGCGTCCCACCAAAGCCAACAGACTACAGAATATTACCCACAAACACTTCCATCAATCGAGAGCACCATGATGACATGAGAGAGTACGGATATTCTGCTCCTATTCTAGTGTATTCATAAGACCCCCCTGGCCCGTTTGAATGCTACCAGTACCAAAATGGCCATCCAATCTGCCACATCCAACGCCCACGCCCGCTATCCTTGGGTACCCAAAATTACTCTTAAAATCGCCTCTTAATTAGCAGCGACCCCTGGATAGCTCGAGCTTGAGCTGCAGCTTCCCGCCCAGCCCGCGCGCGCGCCCTTGCCCCACTACCTTACCACTACTTCACCTCACTTTATGTTGTTTGATACGGTGATACCTCAGATATCCACGGTCCGGCAGCGTATTGCCTCATTCGTGTCCCGCGTTCCGTCCCTTCTAGCTATCACGGTACATCCTCTTGGCAGATGATATTTGACGTTCCTGACGCGACTTATGGCAGCCTGTCAACATCACAAAAGTTGCATCAAGCGGCATAGTCAAAAGTGGAATGCTTGCTTCAGTCATGTTCGCAGATACTTTGCTGGTTGAATCCCACCCGATGCAACCCCGGACTTCCAGATAAATAGAAAGAAATGAAAAAAAGACAAAAACTGCTTGATGACCCCTACCTCTAATGGGACCGACCTCAGATCACACCCAAAAATCGACTCCGCCCCATTCAAACACCTTATTCCATCCTGCCTTGCCTTACACTTTCGGCATACCGACGGCCATGCTTCCGCGACGCAGAAAGGAAAGCATCGTACAAGCCCCTTCTCAAACCATTTGCCCGATCCCGTTCCGCCATGCAAGGGTATCCTCTGCTGAACCTTGTCCATCCATGGCTGTACACTATGTGCCATTGTTGCCAGACCCTTCTGGGCCACCGAGCCTCTCCCGTTGAACCATGACCCGTTGATTGCAAATGTCGATAAACATTTCAAACCTCTCAATGATCTGGTCCTTTTCCACCAACTTCTTCTTCAACTCGTCCACCTCTTTCTGTTTGTCCTCCTTGTACTTGTCGAAATCCTCGCGTGCCTTGGCGAGTTCCTTTCTAAGATCTGCCCGAATCCTCTCCTCTGCCGTGGGGTGTGGTTTGCTGTATATGGCCGGTCTGTTTTCTGCCAACCCCGTCGCCACCTTTTGCGGGTTCCGGTTGATTGCAGCTCTGGCATTGTAGATGTCGCGAGGGAGGAGGGGGACGTGAGGGTTTTCGCCTTGCAGTATCTCCAGTGTCTCGTTTACACTAACCCCTGTCGAAGAGTCAGCGGCTGCTCTTTCTCGTGGTGTTGACTTTGCCGGCTCACCATTCTCCTTGAGAGCTTTGACGGCGGCCACCATCTTGCTGTCTAACTTGCGAGCTGCTGGGTGGAGGAGCGGGCTTTCGCTAGGGCCGTGGTTGTGTTGCAGATGCTGAGGATCCGGTCGGTATCGAATCGTCCACTGGGTCCGCTGCTCGATGGCAAAGAAGCCGAATTGACAGTCGCATTTACGCGATGACGTCTTTCGCTTGCGAAACTCGGGGCTCACGCGACTCGGGGGCTTGCCTGCCCGATCACACACGAACAGGACTTTTTTGAGTCCAGGAACTGTCTTCTTGGAGCGGCCAATGACGATTGCGTAACCGACTGATGTACAGTATGCGAGAACGCTCTTGTGCACCGCCTCCAAGGTCGGGAAGCTACCTCCCTCGGGAGGAGCAGACATCATCTCTCCCATGGGTGTCCGGGGAACGAATGGGGCCCCGTCGATCATCTTTGGCTCGAGGGAATCGTCACCCTCGGCCAGGGATGCATCAACCTCCATACTCTCCCCATGGTGATCACTGGCCTGAGCAGGCGTCTCGGGTCGGGCCTGAGCAGGCTGCTGGACCTGCTGCTGGACTGGGGAAGCCTGAGACACTTGCTGGGCCTGCTGAACTTGCTGGACTTGTTGAGGCACCTGCTGGACCTGAGCAACTTGCGGCAGCTGCTGTTGAACTGTTGGAGGCGTAGGCTGTGACAGAGTCTGAGCTTGAGGGGTTTGCTGGGGCACGATTGGCTCAGTCTTGATCTGCTGCTGGGCGGCCTGCTGCTGCTGTTGTTGAGCTTGTTGCTGGGCGGCCTGCTGGGCCTGTTGCTGTGCCTGCTGTTGTGCCTGTTGCTGTGCCTGCTGTTGCTGCTGCTGTTGTTGTTGTTGTTGTTGTTGTTGTTGTTGCTGCTGCTGCTGCTGTTGCTGTTGCTGTTGCTGTTGATGGAGACTGTGCTGCTGGCTCAGCTTTTGTTGCTGGCTAAGAGACTGCTGATGTTGCTGTTGCTGCTGTGCCAGGGTCTGCTGTTGGCTCAGGCTCTGCTGGTGCTGTTGATGTTGCTGCTGTTGCTGGTGATGTTGCTGCTGCTGGTGTGCCTGATGTTGCTGATGTGCCTGGTGCTGCTGATGTTGATGCTGCTGACCCAGGCCTTGCTGCTGGCCGAGGCCCTGCTGTTGCCCCAGACTCTGCTGATGGCTCAAGCCCTGCTGCTGGCCGAGCCCTTGCTGGCTGAGAGCAGACTGCTGGCCAAGGCCTTGATGTTGTCCCAAGCCTTGCTGCTGGCCGAGAGCCTGTTGATGGCTGAGACTTTGCTGCCCTCCCAGGCCCTGCTGTTGACCCAAGCTCTGTTGCTGACCGAGGCCATGTTGATTGCCTAGAGGAAGGAACAGATTAGGGCCGTTCTGTCCCATCTGCTGCCTCTGGGGCGGCCCCCTCTGGCGTCCGAGGGCGGCGGCATTGGGGATGTGGCTCGGGGGACGCGAGGATCCGTTGACGTTGCCATTGACGGGCGTCGGTGTCTGGAAGAGATGATGGGGATATTGAGCCTGGGTCGGCTGCTGAGGTGTATATGCTTGTTGTTGATAAGGCGACGCGTTGTGAGGGCCTGGCGATGGCTTTTGGGCAGGATTCGCGTGTTGCAGGGGCGGGAAGCCGCCTGGGCCGCCGTGACTTCGTCGAAGGCTACCCGGCTGGGGAAAGGCGAGGCCTGGATGGCTATTGCCCGACTGCCCTAGACTCGACATTGTGTGTCGAGAGAAGGGTGGTCGAAGCCTTTGATGGAGATGAGGGAGGGAGGCGAAGAAGGCGAAAAAGAAGGAGCGTGAGGTCGGACGTGTGCGTGTGTGTGTGAGGGTGAGGGGGGGGATCGTTCACCCGCCGAGGCGAGGCGAGGCTTCGGGGGAGAACGTGTATGGCGAAGGTATCGTCAGACTCAACGGGTGGACGGTCGCGTGGGTATCGACTTGGAGGTCGAGGTCGAGGTCGTTCGAAGTCGTTGAGCCTCCGCTATCGTAACCCGAATCCCAGAGATGCTCGAAAGGATGCAACAAACGAACCCTTGAATGTGGTCTGGGGGTGTCGATAATGGGATTGGGGGGAGGGAGAGGCGTGGAGTGTGTGTGGGTTCTGGGAGGTGTGCACAGAAAAGAAGGGGGAGAGCAAACATGCGAGGTGTGAAGGGTGGTGTGCGAGGAAGAGAAGGGCGGCGGACATGGAAGAGACCTGGGCGGATTGGGGGGGGGGGGGGGGAGGGGACGTGGACTTGGACTTGGGACTTGACCCGAGGACCGTGTCAAGTCAAAAAGGACGAGACTGGAGGGGAAAAGGCCAGAGAGCCCAGTGGCAGTGGCAGAAAGAGCACAGAAAGCCAAAGGGCGATGGGAAGAACAGTGAGGACCAGGAGGGGGGGACAGGGAAGGGAAAGCCTAAGGCAAAAGCTGAAAGGCGAGAAATTTTCTGTGGCGCGGGCCTTGAGGTTTCCTCAAGGTGCACCCAAACTAATTTTTTTTTGGGCGCAGCTAAGGGCAAAGGGACGGGGCGGCGACGGCCAAACTCAACCTTAGGGAAAGGAACCCCCTAAGAGGCAAGAGCAGGTTAGAATCGGAGCCTGAGGAGTCAAGACTCGAGGAGGAGGACCCACCCCCTTCTGCCCCCCCTTGGAGGCTAAATTTAAGCCAGCTGGCATTGGCTGGAAAGTGAGACGGAACACGTGATTTGACCGCAACGGTGATGTCATCAAGAACGGACAGAGCGCCCCCCCCCCCCCCCCCCCCCTTTTTTCTTTCCATTGTTGGCTGCGCCGACTTTCCTTTTTTAACCGCCCGCCTGCTCGCTGGCTGCTGGCTGCTGGCGTTCGTCAGCGCGTGAGAGACGAGAGGGGAAAAGAAAAAAAATCAATAACACACACAGCCAGAAAGGCAACGTGTTTCGTCAAGGGGTGAACACGAGCAGCAAAATATCGGATTAAAGAACTTGCGCGCTTTCGGCCGTTTCAAAGCGTAATCGTACTCCGTACGGGATGGAGGAATCCACAGAAGTATGCACTATCTACAATTGAGGCTCAAAAGATTGATCGCGACTCCTCTCCACACCACGGCACCAAGGTGCACGCCAAAAAGAGGGTGAGGTGACAGCTTCCTGGCGTTTACCCACGTCCCGAACAGAGGCGTGGGATTGGGAAAAAAAAAATTGGAAGACGGCGGGAGTGTCCGAGTGAGGTGGGTGGGAAAAGTGTCATTTGAGGCTCCATAAGTCATTTTGCGCCGTGGACGGTGGTGCCAGCTTGGTGCTGGTTCGACACCTCTCTGATCTGACAGCTGCTTTTTTCTATCCGCACTCCTGCTGGGGCCGTCAAAACCACAAAGGTGATACGCCAAATCGGCTTACTTAAGCCACCCATCTTGTCAGCACCGCACCTCAGGTGTCCAGATTGCGCTTGTACCACCTTTTGCAGGTACGAAGTACAAGCTCCTCTTCCCCCAGGGCCCCCAGGGGATCTCAACCAGACGGGCCACACACGCCCACGCCCCCTCCAACTGCGCAGGTCCCCTTCAACAACCCCCGAATCTCTGAACAGTCGAGAATTAGGACTTTAGGTTCTGCATGTCATGCCTTTTCCTCGGCCCATCAAAGAGCGGGCTACAAACGCTGTTCCCTCCCGTCTTCAAGACTACGCAAGGTACAAATAAGTATGACTGCCCCTATCCCGTAAGTCTCTGTACAGATACACTACGGAGTACCTTATCTTTCCATTCGCCCCTTGAGGTGAGATGGCCATGGACACTCCCGCACCCCATGCATCTACGGGGGGTTTCGACGGCTCGCTACAGCACCAAGCTCCCCCTGGAGGAAGCCCGCAAATCAGCCTTACAAGTTACAACCCACCCCCGGCACCTGCGAAATGATAAAAAAAAGTCGAGACCAGATAGCGAGAGAGCCGGCCTGTCTGTGCTTTCTTGGTGCTTTTTTAGTGGGGGTCCTACCTCCCGACTATGGACCAGGTCCGATCCCTGCCCAAGGCTGGGTTATCAAAAGAGTGGCGTGTTTCCATATCACCTACACCGACCTCCTCAAGTTCTTAGAGCTCAGGTCACCGGATGCTCAACCTCCACATGATGTTTCTTGAATAGAAACCACGAGTTCAAATGCTATTGCCGAAGTTGACAAGGGAGTAATCGGTGATATAGCAAAGTCAAAGTCAACAACCACTCACAAAACAGTCAATTAATATAGCAATATTGAATTGTATGCCATCGCCCCTTGGCCAAATGATGGGATATTCAACCTTCATATAATGATGCTTGAATGAAAGGCATGATTTCAAATGATATTGTGCCATCCTCGGCTGTTGACTAGAAAGTCATCAGCAAGGTTGGGGGGTTTATCTGAACTCGTCGAGGCAGTTCACCAAGCCCCTTATCAGCTGCTCGACCTCGAATCGCGGAACACAGAGATTCAAGGAGTAGATTTTGGATCAGAGTGAAATAACCCTCCCAGGGGCGTGTACCTCTGTCAGTAGTCGAGTATGTAGTTGTAATCATCGGGAGTGCAGCGCAATCAAAGTCGAAAACATTGACTAGTATTCCAGTATGTTTGATCCTGTTGTACTATCTTCTTCACTTTCCTTCATCAAGTACCATTAGTCCAAGCTTTGAGGGTATAGAATACAATGGCCCGCTAAATATAACCAAGAAACAACACCAAAGAAAGAAGCCAGGCTCTGTTCGCTCATGTGGTATCTTTACACCCATCCTGTATACGCCGGAAATCAAACCCATTCTATCGTGCGGATTACTGTCGAAGACAGCAGACCTCAAATATTCCGCTAATTAGTCTCTCTTCTTCCTTTTACTCGGTCTCCTCTCAGTCTCCCCATCCACAAAGTGGTTCTTGTCTTGCTGGTGCTGCTTTAGATTGTCTGGTCGGTTCTTGTATTGGCTCGTGCAGCCCGGAAACGGGCACTTGTAAATCTTTGGCGGCGCCGTTGAGTGTTGCAACTTTTTGTGCTTTGCCATGCTGCCCTTGAACCACTGAGGGGCGCCTCTTGGTCGGTAGCCACAGATGTCGCATTTCTCGTTGGCCTCAGCCTCTGTCTTCGCTGCTGAGCTGCAGGACGGATCTTCCCGGACTTCGGCCGCAGACTCGTCAGGTACGTTGTCAGGCCGTGTCATGTATGGCGGTATCTGGAATGCCGGTGCTGTTGGAACCCCACCATCGTTGAAGAACACCGTCAAGGGGTCCGGCAATCCATTGCTGTCTACGTCCATGTAAATATCAGGCCTGGACGTTGGGATAAGTGGCGTGTCGGATGTCGTGGCCCGGGCATCGCTCCAAGTTGTGTCGCCCAGGGTTGTTGTCAGATTCATGAAATCATCGAGGGTTGCCTCGCTTGTCATCTCAGAAGGGACTCGGGCAGCATCCTTCAGACTCTCCTTTGTGCAAATACCGCGAATGATAGACTCCATCAGATCGATAGCGTACGCATGATAGCTTCTTCGTGTGGTAGCCCCTATCATAGGATTGGTGTAGAGGACTTCGAACTGTGCCCTAACCTTCGGAACATAATGATTGAAATAGTCTTGCAACGACATGCACCCCTGATAACGGCATTAGCATGGTACGGTAAGAACTCCTCCGATCCTCGAGACGTACTTTGCCGGCTTGCATGAGCTCTATCTCCGCTTGCCTGGCGCTCCAGATACTGCCATCATCGATGCGCTTCTGGATACGCCTCCACTTTGCACTTAGACCATCGGCGCGAACGAAGTCTTGTTTGAGTTTGCTACGAACTCCTTTGAAGCTTGCAGACAGTGCACTGTTCGATGGAGCCCGATTGGCATTGTACTGCCAATGCTGTGCCCACAGCATCGACGTTAAGACTTCGGCCGACTCGGGTTGCCCGCTGGACAGGACAGAATAGTCCAATTCTAATGCTTTGGGTAAGCAGTTGCCAACTAGCCAGAGAGCCAGTGTTTACGTACCGTCTAGGAAGAACATTGCCACCTCCAACAATTCATCCTGTTCAGGTCGATTTGTCGATATAGCAGGATCCCGTTCTTTGCCCTTTCTGCTCGACGACCGAGAGACCTCACCCCCGCGCTTCCTTGATGATAAACCGTTCAGTGCCCCGACAGATAGATTTATGGGCTGCCAGATCGCTGATGCGACGCGAAGATAGTCTGATTGCTCCCACTCAGGGAGCGCAATGCTGTAAAGAGAGGTTTGAGCGAATAGATCCCCGGAGCGATCCCGAGCACCATCTTCGTGGACAACAAGCGAGAGCGAGTAAATCAGATGAACGAAGCAAAGGGTATCGATGCTAGTCGCGGGATGCCTACCCTCAGGCATGCCCTTCAGCGCAACGAGGGCCCTGTCCGCTACCTGCTGCGGCGAAAGATCTCGCAACTGTGCTGCGAGAGCACTGTGAGAGACATGCTGCAGCTTTTCGAGTGAGGAGCTGATGTGAGTCTTGAGCGTATCCCAAGCCGACCCAACGAGCGAGTTGGCGTCGACAACATGATCAGACAAGGTATCTTCCGAAAGTTCGTTTAGCGCAAGAGTGTCGACTGATGGCTGAGCAGGAACATCGGCGGCTTCAGATAAGGGGCTGACGGCGGCTGATATTTCTAATGAGGATGCCGGCTGGTCGAGATCAACGGCCGGAAGTGTCAAGGGAAAATGTTGTAGTAAAATGTCATCAGCCGGAAGCTCTGAAATGAAGTTGTAGGGCTCCACGCTATTGTTTGAGTATCGACTCGCGTTAGAACATCCCCTGGAAAGATATCCACCTGAACCGCCGTCAGAGGTTGGTGATGTGATGTTTGTCTCGGCAGTTGTCCATGCGCCACTATAGGCAGAAGCAGGCGAAATGAGGTAACTGGCTGTTGTATCGGTGCTCGCGTTTGATCTAAGTGAATTGCTCGGGGAAAGATTCTTGGTCCTTGTCGTAGGCTGAAGTTGTTTCCGGGGGTGGCCAAAACCGTCAGTATTAAGGGCCAGTAATGGTCGGTCGGCTTTGCCCATGGCACTCTCGCTCATGTCCAGGTTGTTCTGTGCAAACCAAGGATCGGGCAGAATGGAGTTTGGGTGCTGGAGGTTTGCCTGAATCATGCCCGTAGAAACGTGAGGTTGCGCCATCACAGTATTGAAATGGGCATTCGTGGGTGTAGGCCAGGGGACCTCGGTCGAATCGATCTCCAAGATCTCCGACGACGAGGAAAGCTCAACTTGCTGTGGTTGAATATGCAAGAAGTCGTCGTAGCTCGGAGGCGGTGCTATGGCGACTTCGGATACGTTGTCCAGGCGGACATCGGGGATACTCTGGTGGTTTCTTGACTTTTGTCCCAGGGAAGAGAAAAAGTTTTTCGCGACGTTGATGATCTTGCGTCTTTTTCCAGGATGGCCGAGGCATCGTTTGCAGTTTCCATCGGTAAACTTTTCAGCCTTGCTACATTCATAACACCAGTACTCGCCAGTTTCGAGCTCAGTACAGTCGTAGAGGTGCTCCAACATAGCAGCGTGGTCTGGAAATCTTTTGCGACAGCGTAGCATTGGACATTCGAGACGATCAGTGGCAGTCATCTTTTGGGACTTGTTGCGCTTCACAGCGGCCCATACTATGAACTTGTGGAGAGCGCATTCGTCTGGCCTTACGGTGCGAGTACTGCGGTTATTTCTTTAGCCCGAGATCTACGAGGCTTAAAAACGAAGCAAACCTTGAGCGGATAGACTTACACGCATGACGGCGAGGTGTTGGAGTCAATGGATGAGCGGGCTGAAGAGGTTGAAGTCGAATTCGTGCAGCAAGAGTCCCGTCGTGAGCGGCCGAAACTGAGGCGGGACGAGGTGAGAGCTCGTAGGGCTGAAGGTGACGGGCTCTGATTCAGCGCACGGCGGTCATCCCCGAAGGGCGACAGCGAAGTCTTGGACTCCATAATACCCCCAAGGTGCTCCCAAGGACGCACGGGTGGAAATCAGAAAGAACAAATTGCAAGGAAAGCAACGGTCAGAAACGGGTCGAATGAAAGGGGACCGATCCGCCACCCATTTTTGTTTTATTTGTCCATGGGATGAGGTGGATGAAGCCTGCAAGATTGTATCCAGGTCGGTGTCGTAGGACTCTCAGGACTTGGTAGCATCCCCAGGACTTGAGCTGCGGGTCGGGACTGGCTGAAAAAGGTGGTCTCCTCCCGGGCCACCGGCAGATGGTGTGCCTGTGCGTGCTGCGTGGGAGGGAGCGAACTTTGGGTCAGACCGTCCCGCCAGAGAGCGTCAGACTCAGAGAGGGGGAAGAGACATCCAGTGCGGGTCGGGTGCCATCCAATACCATGGAGTGGACGGCACGGTGAGGTAAGCAGGCAGGGTGGCAGGCCTCCGAGGCTCCAAGGTGAAAGGCGAGAGGAGGGCGGAGTGAGATTTTGGCTGCGCATGTTAGCGAAGTACTTTGTATGATCCTCCCGTCCTGGGCCTTGAAAGGTCCAATTTTGAGTAAACACGGGATATTTCATTGCTCCTCGAATAAACAGATGTCGAATTAACAAGCCATCCTGGTCTCTGGAGCCAACAAGATAGGCTCGATTTGACTTGTTCTTACCCAGTTCACCCGCTTAACCAGTGTACGTGTACCTAGCCTTGTAGGACTGACACTCTTCAGCATTTCTGACAAGAAACGAGGCTTCTGGTATGGGCCTTCGTCTCAGTCTGGCAGTAGCAAGAGATAATACCTAGACATGCTCTGCATCCAGCCAACCACGGCGTTGACAGCTTGCCTGCAGAGGCAGCAAGGCACACAGCCGATGACTGGACGGCGAGCCGCGGTTGGTGCAGGAAACGCAACTTTGGAGCGTAGAATGCCTTGCTACCCGCCTTGGTGTGCACTTGCACAGACGATTGGCTGGGGAACCGATGCTGATTGCGACACTGGCGGAATGCAGTACCTACGCTGAGGCTGTCGGAGGCTCCAAAACCCGGGCTCCGATACGAGGCAGGTCGAAAGTCCTGGGCTAGTCGTGAGATGACATCGTGGGCTGTGCCGCAGTGCCACGATGCGAGGGTCCTGTGGCTTTGCACTTTGAATTGCGCCAGAGAACACAAATGAGACGGAGTCCAGCCACCTGAGGGATGCAATGCCGGCGTAACCAATCCTCCGCAGAATTGTAGGAGAAATAGGTAACTGCGTGATATCCTCATCCCAGCGATGAGACCATTCAAAGTCGATTGGCGGTATCATCTAGCCGTAGCCACGGGGTGACGATCTGACTTTGTGTTGGGGTATGGTTCCTGTAGACTTCTCCACGTGTCAGAAGAAGACTGAGTTCGCGGGAAAGACAGGATCAAGTAGAATCTGAACTTTCTGGAGGTCAATTCCTTTTGCTAAGTTTTCTTCCTGCAAGCCCCCGACGGCAGGAACGGGGTTGCTGTGCAAGTGCCCTAGCAATGAAGGAAGGAAAGAACGGGAGGGCCTTCCCATGTGTTGGTTTCCCGACTGAAGACGGCAGGATCTTCAACGGCAGGCACGCAGGGAAAGAACTCCTGCCTGCCTCAACACCCCAAAAACTCATGGGACGACATTTCAACGACATGATGCGGTGATGCCTCACTCCTTTGCCGGAAACCACCATGCTGGCCGTCGTCCCAAGTCTTCAGTCGCCCGTCATTCAATTTATCCCTTCCTTGGGCTACATCACTGGGATTAGCCTGCTGCTTAAACCACACCTCGCAGGCCACAACCCTGGCACGGCTAAAACAGATGATTCGTAAGTTCGTTCAATCGTTTGGCATTCAGCCCCAAGTTCACGATCACTACGGCAGACACATCATGTCACTCCTCTTCCGGGATATACCGGAGGTCTGGAAAGCTAAGTCTTAGCTGCATCGAAGGCATCGCTCATTTTCATAGTCTTACCTAGTCGACAACCGGCAAGTCTTTGGAGCCCGTCTACTAGCGATCTTTGGTGTTCTAGACCACGGAACATTACCCTCCAACTTCATCTCACCGCTCGCTGAACTTCAATCACTGATGCGTTACTGGACAGTCTTGATGCATCCCGTTTCCTCCCATCACCATCATAGACAAGTATGGTCAGGCGATCTACGCCTGCAGTCTAGCCTAGCAACCCGCGCTGTCCCTCAAAGTCCCCCGAAGGCCGTCGCGGATCACTATCTTGGTTGAAGACGATGTGGAAATCCCGGATGGGGCTCGCCGCTTCGCTTATTATCTGCAAAGGAGCAACTCCCGGCCGGCTTCGCCGACTCAATCCGCCGTCCGCCCCAATTCGACGACTTCACGTCGACATCAGGCGGCGTCATGGGCTCCGCAGCGAATGGCGACATTGGGGTGGGGGGGGGGGGGGGGGGGGGGGGCGCACGTTTCGAAGATCTGTTAGGGAGAAAGCGGGCCCCCATTCGGACGACACTGTATGAAGTAGATGCTGCAACCTGTCTTCAAGGAAGCATCTTATTCTTGGCACTTCACGACACGAACCTGCACGGAGACGCCCCGTTCGGACCAGACTCCAGACTCTGGGCGGCCAAAGAAGAACATCCTTCGGGGAAAGGGTGATCGTCAAAGGGGGCACAGCATACGTGCTGCAAAGCTACTTAACCGCTGTTTCAAATATCGGGCATGTGGGCGGATCGCCGGGGGCACGGCATCCCTCGACCGTTCCTTTGAACCGCATAGCTAGGGATTCGTGTTGCAGACTGACACGGTCCAATCAAACTCCCAAAGCACGACAAAGAGAAGATGGGGGCTTAGACATGCATCAACGGCGAGCCGTTGAGTTGTCGAGATTCGAGAGTTCGAGATGCTCTCCCCCCGGCGAGGAAAGCTCTAAACCAACCATCACGTATAGCGGCTACGGCGGGCCTAATTCGATGCACTCGGACTTGTCGGTCGGTTCTGCTAGCACTCGCATATCGTGTCATATTCGCATAGCTGCGAGCGAACTTCTCGGGGCGAATAAGAGCACAACTTGAGGCGGGCCAAAACATCTTGGCTTGGCTAGCTGCCTTTGAGTTGTCCATCAGGGGGTGACCCAGATGCGGGGATTTTGTTTTAGTCGATTCCAGCTTGCAGGCGTCGGTTACAGAATCGCCCTCGACGGGGGTCGGCATCGACTGGAGTACGTCAGCAGTTGCAGACATATTCTCAGATCAGCTCCGCCAGAACCATGCTGTTCCTCATATGGTAACATGTGCATTAAATTATACGGATCTATCTGTAAGTAAATGTTTACGATGCCGTACGTACAGGGTGGTGTTGACAGGCGTACGCTACGGAGTAGTGTAAGGTACTTTCCACGTTGCTCGACGACCGCTTCTTTAGTCAGCATACAGGCTTCGGGCATTGACCAATAGCTCGCCAGCATCACGACTTATTCACATTCCTGCTCACCTGTCACACACCATGCCATGTGAAGCCGACAGGCCGTACAGTCTCGAGGATGGATTATCTCCTGGTATGTCTGGGGCAAGAAAGAGAGCAACATGCACCAGAACGACCAGGCAGACTGTTAACCGCCAGCCGCACCAGTTGACAGTGAAGTCCTCTGTGTATTTTCAACCTGTTCGGGCCGAGAAGACAGGGGGCAATGAACCCAATGAAGCGATTACCTTCCTGGCCCCGGGCCGTGCTTTTGTAACTCTGTTTGCGGCTGATATTCTTGGCCTTCAGACGTTCGAAAATCGACGACATGCCTTCTCAGATTACCCAACGCCAATGTCTCAGCCCCCCCTATTCAGCAGCAAAGCCACATAGCTGGCGTTTGGAGCTTTGAGTCTGGTCCAACTGCCCGTGCAGATATTTTTGATCGCGTCGTGAGGAGAGATGGATATCTGCTTGTAATCATTGGAACACGATCTCGCCGGTGGCAGTTTTAAGAGCCGGCTCGACTCTGTGGGTAGGCACATCGTTGCTTGCCTTCGGTTCCCTTCCTACTTCACTTGTGAAGTTGAGGAATGTGCATCATATGGATTCCTCGTCCCCCGCCCCTTGTTGGGCCGTGAGCTTCATTTCCCACATTCCAGACCGACAAACAAGTGTTTGACATTCATCAGACTATCCAGCCGGTGGCCAGGGCCATGCTTACAGTACCTCTAGTATCTTATATACGGAAATCTCCCCGGTCATTTAGACACACCCTGATCGTTTACTAGTGTCCGATCTTCTACAACCCTCGTTTAGTCACTCGTTCAATATCAAGCTAGTCATTGCTTCCATTGCCCTTGTCCGTTCCCTCACTCGCAAGTTTCCGTACTTTACAGGGGTCATTTTTGGGCAACTCACATTCACTATCACGATGGTTTGCCTCAAGCAAGTTGCGGCACTAGCCGCCGCATCCTACGCAGCGGGAACGTACGCCAGCGCCATCCCCGACCTCATCGGCGGCGGCGGTGCCCCTCAGCCCTCGATCCCCGCCAACCGTGAACGAAGCAACGGTATCAGCAAGCGACAGACGGCCGGCGGCTTCATCGACATGGACGCCGGCCCCATCACCAGCGACTGCGGCGTGGCGGCAACGTTCAGCTTAAACACGCTCGGCCAGCTTGTCGTCGGCGACTCTGTCATCTCCATGAACCCGGGGACGACCTTCATCCCCCTCCGACCCATCAGCCCGCCGGGGAGCATCACCGTCACCTTTGCCCTCAACAATGGTGCGTTGACCTGGTCGAACGCGAATTTCTTTGGCGGCCAGGCTGGGTTCTGCCAGGATACCGCGGGTCAGGTGTATGCTACGTTTGCCGACCCGGCCGTGTCGTACCCGGCGAACTGTGCTCCCGTTCAACTCGGCCCCGTCGTTGGTAGGTTTCCACTTTTCTGCTAATTGATTTGTTTGGTATGAGAGGAAGCTGTAAGACGCATATTCGCTAACACCAAAACAAAAAAAAAGCATCCACCTGCGGAAACACCGGCGGCCTCTCCACCACCTCGGCGCCTCCGTCCGGCTCCGTCACCACCGTCGGCAGCACCATTGTCAGCACCGGCCCTGGCGGCAGTCTGACCACCACGGTCAACAGCTTCGCCACGACCCTCGCCCCGCCGTTCACGGCGCCGACGACGTCGGCCGTGGCCAACGGCACGCTCACGCTCCCTCCCGGCCTGTACACCGTAGCCGGCTTCGCTACCCCGGCGGGCGCCGTCTGCTCCATTGTATCTGAGTCGTGGATCGTTGGGCAGACGACGTTGCTTTCCCCGCTTGCTACCCGTGCGGTCTAGTATGGGTTCCTTGTTTAGGGCAGTTTTTCGATAATCCATTGGACTTTTTAGCAGGCTGAGGTACCTCGAGGGATACAACCCTGGGGGTACGGATACTTGGTGTGTGGTATTTAGTAGGGAAATTTCGAGGTCACGTTGAACACATTAATGAAAAGGTTATTCAAGTCCAAAGAAAACCATTACTTGACTAAGCATTTTAAGAATGATGCGGCAACACGGCCTTGGATTGATTGTCCCCCGGAGAATTCAACCTTATCACCTCGAATCTTTGTCTAATTGGCCTCGCGGAGATGATGCGGCACGTCATTATGCAGGGCTGGTCGCTCTCCTTATCTCGCTTGTTTGAGGTCACGGTCGCGGTCCGTGTTCGCTCGCTTTTCTTTCCTCTGCAGCGTTGCATTTTTTCTCGAGAGATAAGGTATTAGTTTTATCAGCCGTGAACCGTCAGTTCCCTTCGGCGACGGACGGACTTTAGATATTGACGTTGGGCGGGGGGATCTTGGCGGGCATACAGCAGATGATACGGACAACTACTAAGGATAGAGAGAAAAAGCAAGAAAAGGGCCAGCAAGCTGGTGCGGATTAGCCGTGATTCGCGCCCGCAAGCATGTTGCCGGTAGTGGATGCTTGTGAAGCTCAATCTGGGGGAGAAGAGGGGGGAAGGTTCAATTTGGGGGGTGAGACTTGCTAGGTGAATGTCACTTTATAGGGCAGATGCTAATAGTACCACGATAAATGCTGGATAAGCCGGACTGAGTTCCCTCCCGATATTGCTCTGGAGAACTCGAGTCATCGTGTTAATCAAATGTAGAAACTCTCACCCCGCTGTGATCCCCGTTGCTAACGTCATCCTTTTACTTGACGGCAAAACAATCCGAGAGGGAAAGCGTGAGCTGATCGTATGGATACTGAATCAGCGACGTGCGTGTGATTCCCGTGGAAGTTGCGGACCACGAGAACTCTGGTTGTCATCACAAGAAAGACGGGATACGGGCCACGGCATCAGGAAAGAGCGAGCAACTAATTGAGGTGCTGGCTAAGTTGATCTGCCCGCAATCAAACCTTCATTTCGGAGTGCTGCAACTTGAGCTGCAACTTGAGCTGCAACTTGCCTCACTCACATCATTGCCCATCAAGCCGACGACTCCGGTCGTCAGATTTTCTTCTTCCTTCGGCCGGACCAGCCGCTCGCTGGCTCTCTGCTGCCAGCCTGCCGGGCGAATTCGCTATCAGTTCCAAGACATTCATCCAATGCAAGTCCAAATCCAGTCCAATCCCATCCCACTCATCCCACCACACCTCGAAATGGCGTTGGTCCATGCCGCCGCCATCCACCCCCAAAAAAGAAGAGGCCCCAACACCCAACCACCACAAACCCAGTCGTGCTAGTTCAACACCACCAACTGGCAACACACCTTTAGCTTTTCGGGGACTTCAGAGTGACGCCAGATACACAGCATCTTGCAGAATCGACAATCAGCAACCTCAACTTCTGAACCAATGTCACCGCCCGTTTTGCCAAGGTCCGCCCGCCGCGCCTACCCCGAGAAACTCTGATATCGAAAAAAGGCCGGAGGCACATGGCAGAGATAAGTGGATGAGAGATATGCGACCTTTACTCACCTCCTCTCTCACTTCTCACCTATCTATTCGTAGAACTAGAACACGAAAGATATGTACGCAATCCATGGCCTGTGCATCGTCAATAGCTCCCTCTTGATTGCTTGCCGGCAAAGAGCTGCGACGAATGACGACTCTTCGAAACCGATGGTATCAAAGACCATCGCATCTAGACAGACGCCAAAAAAAACAATAGACGATGGTTCGGAGAAAGAATCTGGGCCCAGGCCGTCGAATGGAGACCCGGGGGGGCCAGGGGACGGGCTGCTCTACCGTCTACGCTACGAGCCTACCACTACCAGGGGGGGGGGGGGGGGGATGGGGGGGAAAGGGAGGCTAGGGAACAAGTCACATCCATGATGCATTGGGTCACGTCGCATTGGATCGGATCCTGACACTCGACTCACTGACAAGGACCCCTCCACCCCCTTTGGTCTGGGCAAGGTCACAGTCTCTCTCTGTTCAGTCGTTGCTCCCCCCACCACCCACTCTCCGGCCGGGCCAAGAACCCCGTCCGTTGGTCCCAGACGCTGGCAGCACGCTCGTCGCCTTGTTTGGGCTTGACAAGCACACAAGCCATGGCGGCGGTCCCGCCAGACATGATTGGCGTTCCCACGGTTCCGCCTTATCGAGCCTGTGAGAAGCTCCGGTATCCTTCCCACCGCCCAGCCCTTCCCATCACCATCCCAGCTTCTGCTGGTCCCAGCAACCCAGCAACCCAGCAGCACGCCGCACGCGCGACACTGGTGCTGGCGCGAGAAGCACTTATCTAGGCAGACCAGGAGGGTGACTGTCAATGTGTGTCTGAGAGAGATACCTAGACAGAAAGAGAGAGAGAGAGAGCGAGAAAGGAAGAAACGGAGAGACGGAGAGACGGAGAGACGGAGAGACGGAGAGACATAGAGCAAGAGAGAGAGAGAGAGAAGGTGTGCGTCTCCATGTATCTCTTGCAAATGCACCCAACCACTGGCGTCAACGCGGAAAGAGATAGACAGGAGAGAGGAGCCAAGAGAAGGCAGAAACAACCAACCAGTGGTGCCATCCGACCCGATGATACGGATGTTAGGGTTGATATGGCGGTAACATGCGGTATGCCTCACCTTTAGCTCACCCACATGCATCAAGCCACCAACAAAAAAAAACCCTCGGCGCAGCAAGAAAGGAGATACATGACACTTCCAGGTTGAGAGGGTTTCCAGAGTGACGGTCATGGCCCTCCTGGTCAAGAGCAAAAAAAAAAAAAAAAAAAAAAAAAAAAAAAAAAAAAGAGACAGAGAGAAAGGGAAAAAAGAGCAGTAATACCAGCAAGCAGCCCCGGTTCGAGCTGAAGGAAAAGAGACCCAAAGGAGCCAAAGTACCCAAAGCAGCTTGGCTGTGCCGTACGTCTAACGTCTAGCGGCGGAGGTACTTCGTTTCGAAGCTTGGTTTGAAGGAGGTTCCCATTCGCACGCGCACACGACGACAATCTTTCTCTTTTTTCGTTCTCCCATGCCCATCCCGATTCCCCATCCATCCCATGCTCGCTCCATGCTTGTTGCTCCATGCTCGTTGCTCATTGCTCGCAGCTCTCTCTCTCTCTCTCTCTCACATCCATTCCCGGACCTGTCCAGCCCAGGCCTATCCGTACCGACCCTACTTAACCAAAGTCCACCCACTCTTCAAAAATTTCCTTTTTTCTGCAGATTTTTAAGGTCCCAAGCCTTTTTCTTTTTCATTTCCCACTTATTAGTCTTCCCATCTTGCTGGACGAAGGAACGGGGGTCAAGTAACAAAAGTAACAAATACCACAAGACCCTTCTTACTCTCTATTTAATCATTTCCGAGCTTCGTTTCTTCCCTTTTTTCCCTGGCTTCTTCCTCATCAAGCCGCCCACCTTCACCAGCCACTTTGGGACGGGATCCCCGACGACCGGTGCGCGGGCGATTCATCTTACAGATACTTGCCTGTGTGCAAGTCCAACGGCCGACACAAACCAACAGACGCAGTCCAAGACCCAGGCACCACAGACCTTTGACCAGACCAACCTTACCGGCGATAACCACCGTACTACTAATACCCAAGGGCATAACGCAACGGCCACCAACACCTTCTGTTCCCTGGACATTCCAGCCACCCCCAACGCCAAAGACACGAACGAACGACGACGTATTGGGTACCTTCTTTGGACGACCTGGCCACCCGGGAAGGATATATAGACGATAGACGAACCCATCGATCCATGTTGCAGCCCCTCCTACCGTGACAGGGTCATCTCACTTCTTTACTCTTCGACCTCACGAGACCACCCATCCATCTTGAGCTTCGAGCTTCGAGGCCCTTGTCGTATGCTGCGTCTTCCCGCCAGGCGCTTACCATCGTCTGTCGCCAGCTGCCGCCACTAAGAATTCAACCAGCCCCAACTCTCCGATTTCCAACCACCCCCGAGCCGGCGTCTTTTATTCCCTGTTACCGGGCGGTTCTCCCTAGTCTTGACGGCAAAACCCACCTGACAAGACGTATCCGTACAATTGCCCGCCTAATATTAAGCGACTTTTTTCTCCTTCCAGCACCGGACAGCCAGCATCCAAACTGGGTCGTGAAGTCGACTAGACCAACGGGCCAATAAGATGGACTCACCACACCACATGGGCATTCGCGAGCTCAATGTGAGCAACTGGCACTCTCACAATACCCTTACCGATACCTTCAATCATGCGGTCCCCGCCATCAAGACAAGCGCAGGTAAGAGCTAGCACAATTTTCTACTCATTTGCTTTCTCGTTACGTCTTCCCTGCGTTTCCGCCCTGCGGCTCTTTTAAATCATTTCTTCTTGGCCACCTGTTCTTCAACGTTATCTTTCCTCTCATCTTGGCATTCTTGTTCAACCTCACCTCGTGTGTCTCTCTTTCACAACTCACTCATACGCCCACCGCACTCTTCCAACACATCGTCATCAAGTTCATCCAATCTCATTTTCCAACGCTCCGACAGGACCGTTTGGGGATCTGGCTTTTCTTATCAGAACGTGCAGCAAAAGCGCCGAAAGTTTCGGCCACGTTCACGGCTATCGGCCTTCTCGGTGCTCTAGACCAATCCAGAAGAGGACGTGGAACACGAAAATCTCATCTCATCTATTGACAAGCTTTTCATCCTGTCTGTCACAACCTCGCAACTCACTACACCTGACCACATCTCTCACCTTTACTCCTTCGCGGCTTCCATCAATGCCCTCAACTTGGACCTGACATCACGACAAAGTATGCTGACTAGTTTGCCCAGCCTTCTTCACATTTCTCCGCGCCAACTTGGTCCTGAACCCATCCGCCATGTCATCCAACACAAACACGCCCGTCCTTCAGCCTACGGTGGCACCCAACACCCATCGCCCGGCAGCACCATCTCCTTTGGCAACGTCTCAGACCCTCGACCCCTTCGACGACATCCCTCCACTGTCGCTCGAAGTCCTCTCCACCCGGGAGGACAAGGCCGAAGCCCTCCACCTCGTAGCAGACTCCATCGCCCAACAGCGCCAACAAGCCGCCTACTCCCTCGTCTTCCACCCCGTCCCGCTCGCAGGTCTCACAATGACCCTCGGCGTCGCCTACCAGTACTCCTACGCCCGCCGCGGCGACATCGGCCTCGCCTTCACCCTCTTCAGCGGCGTCATCATGACCTACCTCCTCGCCATCCGCTGGGCAACCTCCGGCTACCTGCCCCTCGCAGAGCAAATGTCATGGTCCTTCATCCGGCCCCACCCAGACGCCTCCGCCGACGAAGAAGACCTCGTCCTCGGCACCCGCTTCGGCAACGAGCTCGTCGGCGCCCTGGTCCTGCACCTCGAGCCCGCGAGCCCGGCCGTCGCATCTACTTTCAGCAGCCGGCGCCGCAATAAAGCCTCGAGCTTCCGCGGCGGTAAAGGCATCATCCGCGCCTGGACGACCAAGCTCCGGTACCGCGGCAAGGGCGTCGGCACCGACATGCTCGACGAGGCCGTCCGCATCACGCGCGAGCGGTGCGGTAAGGACGCCGAGGTCGGCTTCGCGCTCGAGCACGCCAACAGCCGCATGGTCATGCCCGAGTTCTTTAACGGCGTGTTTAGAAAGCGCGAGCGCTGGGCTGCCAAGACGCTTGATGGCGTGTTGGCTGAGCGGGAGCTCACCAAGAAGAAGAGGTGAAGACCGTTGTCGTCTTTTTCCATCTTTAAAAAAAAAAAAAAAAAACAAGACATTTGTTCTATCTCGTATTGCTATCTTTTTATTCGCAAGCTTTTGTGTGTGTTCTCGGTGTCCCCTTTTCTGGACAACTGGTGGGGATGGTGGACGGAAATTGGTTATAAATATACCCTAGAGCTGTGGGAAACAGGCGGGCGTCATACACATTGTCACCGTTCTGTCATCCCACGGGCATCTCTTTTATCTTTGGTTGTCTTGTAATTTTTCTTTCTTTTCAAACGATACCCCCTCTCGTTATATCAAACGGCTTTCTATCTTTTACTGGCGCCTCGGGTGGGCGATTATACAATGTTTTTTGTACAGAGCGGAAAGAAATTGTGGAGGCAAATCAAGAGTCCCTCGTGATACCCCCTTCCATCAAGGAAGGGTGTGGAAACGTGGACAACGGCATGAAGATACCACTAGGAGTGCAGCTTGGAGAGAGGAAAGGGGTGAGATTCTTGGGAATCTCAATCCCCGCCACTCTTATCTGGTCTGCCTAATATAAAACCTTTCGTTTGGCAACATACACTTGACAGCCTCTTGGGATATCTGATGTACGCAATGTGATTCGAGAACATATCTATCTTGACATGGCCTTGCAGAGACCACCACTTCAATGGGATATTTCGAGGACACCTGGCTTCTCAGACATGGCGCCCAGAGAATGGAATGACCGGTGTATGTATTCAATCACAACGACCAGAGTCACTCATTTACTCAGAAATCGTTTCACCCACGGTTTGATAACAATATGCACGTACAACCTGAGGGGGGGGGAACCTATACGTTTCTGCATAGCTTGTAATAATAACGACTGACGTCTCCATACGATTATCCACCACGTCTGGTCGCCAAAAGTCCTAGCTGATATACCACAAATCACTTTTTTAGCCGCCCCGTGTACTAATTACTGATTTGTTAGATTATGTACTCCCAGAATCGGCCAACATGTACGGGTTTGCATTCCTCCCTCCATCCCGAGGCTCGAATATCCGGAATCGATTCCCAAATTCTTTTTTAGTCTGCTTTTCGTGATCACAGGATATCTCTCTCTCTCCCTCATCATCCCAGGCGGTCGATACTTCTCGCGGCCCCATCTTCTCATCGAAGATGCTCTCTGGCAAGACCATAGCCCCAACGTTGGGATCCAGGTTAGAAAGTGACACGCAAACAGTCCCCATACCGTAGCCCCCTTTGCACATACTCGTACTCGCTTCAACCGTGAACGCCAGACATGCCTATACCCATAAGACAAGTAAAAGAGGACCAGAAAGGAGGGAGGTCCAACGGATGCTGTGTGGTGACGGCACGCTTTCTGACTGATGGTGGGAAACCCTTCGGCGTTTTGACCAAACGACTTGCTCCTGCTGAAGTCGAACCGACATAAGAGGGGAAAACGAAGAAATGATTTCAGTCGTGGCCACCTGCGGCTTTGCCCTTGCGGGACTTTGTGTCAACGAAAGTGTCCGGGTCGAAGCCGTAGATGGGCTTGCCCTTGCGAGCAAGGGAATGCAAGACCTAGCGGAAAGTACAACGTCAGTATACCATCATTGCAGAGCACCATCAGATTCCCCAGCACTAGACTCTGCCAATAAAAGCTGAGGAGGGGGGGGGGCGCGCCGCCTAGTCTAGATAAGTAGACTTACATCGTGAATAGTGATAGTCTTCGCCTTACGATGCTCCGCATACGTCACGCAGTCTCTCAGGACCTGTCGTCATTCATTAGCCTTCTGTCGATATGAGAGCTAGGTGTGTGGCAGAGATGATATACTTACAGACTCGAGCCAGGTCTTCAGAGCCTCGCGGGCATCGTCGTAGATCATGGCGGAAATCCGCTTGACTCCACCGCGACGGGCCAGACGACTGAATGAGAACGAGCGGTTAGCTTCAGATCTGTTTCTAAAAGGAATGAATGAAGATAGGTAAGGTGCAGTAGTGGCAGAGGGACAGGGCAGGTGAGGTAGGCGAAACAGCCGATGTGCACGGTGAGTATGAGATGAGCCTCAGTGAAGTAAGAGCTCAACTCAAATCCCCTTCACCACTCTCATCTCAGAAAACCCGAGACCATCCGCCTCGCGCAGGTGAACCAAGAAACCCCAACGAAGAAGAAAACCTCTCGCAATCAACCAAAACAAAAAAAAAACCCCAAAAAAAAAAACCATACCGAATAGCAGGCTTAGCTAAACAAGTGATCAAAGTCAGCTCCTCACATCCAAAATATATAAGCCATCAAACCGAGTTCAAGTTCAACTCACTAATACCTCGAATACAATCCTTCATAATTTTCCTATCCTCCTCGTCAGCAGCCAAATCTCACCGGCCGTACGTGAACGACACCACAGAGAGGGAAACCTTACCGGTGTCTCTTCGCACCGGTACCCGCGTTCTGCAGCACCGTCTTGCCCTTTCCGCCCTGGTGCACTTTGGAGGCGGTACCGCGCTTGCCGCCGCCGGAGCTGGAGGCACCCGGGCCACCGCGGTATGCGGCCATGGGAGGCATGTTGAGTAATACTGTCGGTAAACGCCTGCTAGATGAGGAGGTTTGCTGAGGGTTTTCTCTTGTCGGGTTAGATCGTGAATCGTAAACTGGAGTTGAAGTGATGATCGTGGGTGGGTGGACGCGCTGGTGGATGGGACGGGAGTGGCACCTAGCGATTATTTGGGGGAACAACTACCTTTAGGAGGCCGTTTAGGTACGGATACCTACCTACCCAGATGCAAGCACAGGAGGTAGGTTGGAGATACCATTGCTAGGGACCTAGAGGCAGGGGGGACGGACCTGCCTTATCAGTCATGTCTCGAGTCTTATCGGCCTAGCTTGGCCCGTGCTGAGATGCCCTGTGCAAAAACACCGTATAGATACAAAAAAACGCACTGTAGAAACTTATCGATCGCAATGCAGGAGCAGGGAACTTGCCGGCGAATGTTTGTCATATGTCTTGTTTCATGAGAGAACTCTGAAGTCGGGGTCGGGGTCTATGTGATGCCCCAGCTTTTGGGGGAGCTGAGAGCTGAGGCAGCACGATGCAGAGGACTGGAGCTATGCTGCTTGCGGGACAGGCTGACTGAGAAGCACAAGGCGAAAGCACAACAATCTCTCAAGTGTCCAGGAATTGCACGTTTATATTCAGAATATTGAAAGTGTGTATTTGTATTAGAACAGTTTTATAGAACAAGTATGCGTACCCAATTCAACGAGTGACCATAGCCCCCATCTGAACGCCTAAACCAGACCGGCAACAACTACCCAAGAATTTCATCGCCGTCGTTTCATTTGTCCGTATGTCTATTCGGAGATGAAGGTGGCCTCGCTGAAGCAGAGACCCTCTTCGGAGATTTCTTGGTCTCCAATCTTGAGCTTCAAGGTGAGCTTCTTCTCTGTCGGGCAGTACTGTAATCGTTGTCAGCTTGGTTTCTCGGGATACGTGGGACACGTGAATCTCGGGAATGGAACTTACCTGGTAGATGTATGGCTTGGTGCCGGCCGTGCCAGCTACTATCTTCTTGACGAAGCCGGGGACCTCAGCCAGTACGTCAACTCTGTCCAGCCTCTCGCCGAGCGGGCCTTCGATGATGCCCTCCACAGCCTTTCCATCCTTGTCCTTGCCGGACCAGGTGAACTTGATCTCCTCGGGCTCGGGCCACTCGTTGACGGAGTCGTTCTTCGCCTTGGTGTGCTTGGCCGTCTGGGTGACGCCGCCATAAATCATCTCGCCGTCCTTGGCGATACCGCCGACGCTGACGGTCGTCGAGCCGTACGAGGGAGGGGTGGTGTACTCCATCATGACGGCCGAGTAGTTGGGGCCCTGGAAGTCGACAAAGTTCCACTTGGCCGCCGCGTGGTGAGGCTTCATGCCCTGCAGCGCGTACACGTAAAAGGCCCGGCCCTTGAAGTCGACGGCGCCGTCCTTGGTGGTGATGGTGCCCTCGGTGATGCAGCGCGGCCAGAAGGCGTGGCGCATGGTGCCCCACGGCTTCGACATGTCGGTGCCGAACAGCGTCTTGCCCGTCTTGCCGGCGTGGAAGCCGGGCGACATGCGGGTGACCTTGAGGTTGACAATGGCGTTCTCCGCGTTCATGCTCTTGATCGTGTAGTAAGTGCCGTCCTCGGACAGCTCGACGGCGCAGTCATCGGCGTAGAAGGACATTCGGTCCTCGCTCACCTCGTAGTGGCTGAGCTGTGTGGTCTCCCAGAGCGTCGGCTTCGACTTATTAGGGTAGAAGATCTTGGCGTTGAACTGGCATGTTGTGCGGATGCCACTATGAAGAACATGAGGTCAGTATGCAGAGACAGATGCAAAGGGCAGAGAAGCTATCCCGTACCCAACGTTACTGTAGATGATCTGGGCCAGCCCAAGGTGTCCGTTGTCGCCCATCAGGTAGAAGCTCTGCGTCTCAACAGAGGTCGAGTCGGCCGCAATCCATTTCAAGTCCTCCTTGGTGGTCTCTGTGTGGGTGGTCGTCTTGGCCTCCTCGGCGACAGATTTGATAGCTGTTGGGCCGTAGATGGGTTCTTGGGTACCCGCCACATCGGCGAGCCTGGCAGAATTAAAGGTTAGCCTTGGCTGACGCAACATGGAGGAACGGCAAACGCTTATTACTTTTGTTGCGCCCACTTGAACATGTTGAGGGCAGGGCGCGTGAGCGGGATGACGACGGATGGAAAACGGGAGGGGTATAAAGTTGCTCGTCGATGTCGGTAAAATGCAGCAGGTCTGTACACGGGCAACGAGGAGTAACAAGCTTCTTGGTTGTGTTCTTAAGAGGAAAACCGAGTTGAGAAGAAGTTGAGTTGACCGCCCCAAACAAGAACAAGCGGAGGGGCCGAGGGGTCATCCCACAACCCAATGACGGTGAAACTGTGGCTAATGCGACCAGGGTGGATCCAGCGCTCCCCCGAGCATCCCGGTCGCTTGGACCTTTGGCGCGTGGCTGGTGCATCCAAGGCTCCTAAATTTTCCACCTCCGAAAAGGTGCAGCATCTGATTGATTGATTGAAGCTTGGTTGTCTGTCGCGCGGCGCAATATACCTGTCCATCACCACCCACCCGTCACTCCCCTTTTCCCCCAACGAGCAGACTTGTCTGTATATCCGCCACCATGTCCAAGAGAGGAGCGACGATTGCCGACCAGGTCGTGAAGCTCATCGTGGGCGCCGGGCAGGCCAGCCCGAGTCCCCCCGTTGGTCCTGCGCTGGGTAGCAAGGGTGTCAAGTCGATGGACTTTTGCAAGGTGAGACTTGCCCTTGGGACTCTGATGAAGCAACACATGCCACTCTCTGCCCAACATCTGTGCTTTTAAGGGGGCGGTTATGCCATGGTTGAGATCAATGCTAACGAACGTGTCTTTGCTCATTCGATAGGAGTTCAATGCAAGAACAGCACACATTATCACCGGCACGCCGATGCCCTGCCGAGTTACTGTCCGAGGCGACCGATCATTCCACTTTGACATCCGCACACCTCACACATCGTGGCTTCTCCTCAACGCCGCCGAGGTGCCGGTCAGCAAGAAGGGCAAGCGGAAGGGCGCAACGAACCCCGGAAAGGAGACGGTCGGCACTGTCAGCTTGAAGCACGTCTACGAGATCGCCAAGATCAAGCAGACGGAAATGCGTCTATCGGGTCTCAGCCTCGAGGCCATCTGCCGCTCCGTCATCTACCAGTGCAAGTCCATTGGTATCAACGTCGTGCCATAGAGCACGTGTCCTGCAACAGTCTATTTTCAACCACGTATAAAAACGGAGTCAGGCGCGGAAAGAAAGCATCCACTTGTATACCATCTCAGACGAAGAAGAGCGTGCCCATGTACAATTATTGGAGGATCGAGGCGAGCGAGGCGAGATTAGAATAGCAGACAGGAGGTACTGTACGATGAGAATCTCAACCGCCAAGCAAAGGCAGAGCACGGCGACAAAAAAAAACCCGTTCATACACTAGCGCCGCATGGTCGGAACATGGCACGCCTGAAGGGATGCTTCATGCGCCCCAGAAGTCCCAACTGAGCAGTGACGTTGAACATCTGTCTCGTTTTGAGGCGAAGTCCGTTCTCACGCTTCTCCTTGCGCACGATGGTGCGTGTACAACGACCACCCGTGGGAGACCGAAACGACTAGCCGTCTGGCCGTTGTCCAACAAATCGGGAGGGAAGAATTGACGTAAAACTTAAAGACTGACGACATGCCAATTGTGGTACGCCTGCTTGAGTAGAACGCAGGGCGAGTTGGACTATAGCCTGGCCAGAACTCTGTAAGTCGAATGAAGAGGGTGCGAGGGGAAAGCCTCATCGTGCCGTGCGAGACAAGAGTAGGTAGGTATTGGGGAACAAATTGACAAGGTCGGCCCAAAGTCAGATGTGCGATCAGCGGTCTAGAACTGACATGCAAGCGGCAAAGCCAGCACATCGGTGGAGAAGAGCTGGCTTAAAGTCTCCCGAAGCTTCGCAATCGAGATCGACAAAACTGTTGAGAATGGAAGCTTACACGTCTTCCTCCTCTTGGTTGGTGAGGTGTGTCGCAGGCAGTTCCTTCCCTGTCCTATGGTGCGAAGCTTCCTCTGAGAAGCTCGCGCAAGAAAGTACTTACTGTGTATCATTGGGTAACGGGTCCCGGTGGCAGGTGCTTGAGCTCTGTCGGTGGAGGCCCGCTGGTTGCAATGAAATGCAGGCCCAGATCTAGACAATGCCAGGGCAATGCCGATGGAGATGATTTGCCCACCTGGTGCCCCTGGAAAGCGGTCCTCTTTTGCAGCGTGCCTGAATTAAGGGTTCCATCAGCAGCAGCCTGTCATCTGCAAGAACGCCTCCAAGCCTCATGAGTGTGGGACCGATTCGAAGCCGGTGATGTGACGGAACAGTGGCCGTTTTCATGCTGCAGATGCAACACATCAGCAACCACGCCACTGTGCTGGGGCAGCTGGGCTCGTCGGTCTGGGACCGGAGATGCGGCGGTGTTCTTAGGGCGGAAGGGCGGGACGAAAGGCAGGCCAGTTAAGGTACGTCTCGGCATGTGCTCTGAAAGTGTGTCTCGGGCTAGTGGGCAGCTGGGGAAGAGGGGGGAGCAAAGCTCCGTCTGTTCCTGTCCATCACTCCATCAGAACCCCCGTCTTGACTTTTGCTTGCCGGAAGCTGACAGAGAGCTGGAACTCACGGCTTGTGTAAGCCGGTGGATGACGGGGTTTTTGGTGGGCCGTCGGATGTGCGTTCAAACTTCTCAGAGGTAATCTGTTGTTCGTTTGTTGAAGCCTAATAAAGGAGGGCGAAGACGACTTGGGATTGGTGTGCTTTTGTTTCCTGGCGGGCTTGACTCGTTCGCCCCGGCCTAGGCAAAAAGTGCATTGTCGAATAATCTGGCGCGCATTGGCGTTCGTTGACCTTGTGGACGGGTATGCCCTGGTTATCGTCGGCGCAATGAAGGACTTGAACCAAAAGAAAAGATTTTCAAGAGGCGCGAGAAATTGAAAGAGTCATCGGCCTGGTGTGGAGACCGGGCCGCGGCCGAAGCAGGCAAATACCATCAACATCCATGATTGCGCGCTCGTTGGTGTCCTGCGAGGTTCGTAAAAAAGGTTCAAATGTTACCAATAGATACGGCCGAGCCGCCGAATAATAACGCCTCACAGCTGTCGCATGTGTCACGGATGCGAAGCCGAGAAACCAGCCCCTGGCGCAAATTGGGGGCACTTTCGGGGCACATTGAAGTCCTGAAGGCATGGACTTTCGGGAGGGATCTTGGAAAAAGCCGATGACCGACGGGGCCATGAATGGTCTAAGACTAGAAAATTAGAAGCGGCTTGTCATGAGGTAGAAAAAAATAGAACATTCCGATCACCACAGGGACAGGCAGGAGCTGCCAGGCTGGCAGGGCAGGCAAGGGCCTTCTTCGGCCGGGTTCCTGATGCAGATACGCGCAATGCATCCATGATTTTGGGGGTACTGCCAAGTATTTGTCCCGTTCCCAAGCCGTAAAAAAAAACCTCCAAGTCTCCAGCCTACTAGTAGGTAGTGGCAGACCCCTCCCCCCCCCCCACCCTTCCCTTCTCTCGGCTCCCTTTCGGCGGCCCTGGTGCTCCAATGCCATGTCACCGTGTCTTATCCAGTCCACCGCTTCCCCGATAAGGAATGGATAACGATCCTGTTGACCATTCAGATTGCATCCTTTTCAAGCTCACTCACTCAGCAGAGGTATCGTGTACTTACTGACCCTACTACAACACCTTACATACCACAGTACCTGGCTCGGCGCGGGTTACGGGAGGTCAGACGGACCCGTGAACAGCGCACTCGAGATTCCGCGATACGTATCTGGACCGGGTTCGGGGTCACTTTACCTTAATATTCTCCCCCTCGGGTCCCGGTGTCTACATGCCGGCAATGTCTCTTCAGGTGACCTCGTTCTTCGCCTTTTCGTCCGAGTCTTGAGCCAGATCAATACAGAGAGAGAAAGACGTGAGATGAGAACCTAGAGCATGCGACAACGTTGTTAAATAGTACACATGTCAAATCACAGGGCAGGGAGAGATCCTCCGGCTAGGACCTTCGATATTTTGTAACGCTTACCCATGCCGTGCATTTCACCAGTACCTTCTTAAGAGGCAAGGTACGGATACGCAGTGATTAGGTACTTCCATTGACTCTTGGTCTTAGTGCATCTCTAAGTGCCCCACCATCCGCAATTGGCATCCACACTCATCCAGTCCTGGGTATCCGTACTTTTTCTCTTTCCCAAGCCCGGCCCTTCGAGTTGTCGTCGTTTGGTCTTGGTTTTCTTTCCTCTTGCTCCTCTTTCCCGCCGTCTACTGTCATCATCGTCCCTTTTCCGACTCCAGAGAAGCTGCAGACGACAAACAGTCATTGCCCGCAGCTCCAGCTAAGCCCATGGCTACCCCGTCTCCTGCCCGCGATCCTCAGAAAGAGGACGTCAAAGTCCCAGGTACAAACGCCATATCCTTCCGTCTGTTCCGGCGCGCGCAACCCCGCCCTCGGTTCGTCTGTTGCGCATGTCACAGTCAAACAAACACTCACTCGCCCAATGTCCCACGTCCACGCCCACCCTCACACTTCACGCTCATGCCCCAATCCTGCATCTTACCCTCAACGCAGATCCCGTCTTGTGCTGACCGCTGTGCGCAATGCCTAGAAATCACCCACAATCCTCCAGATAACCCAAATCTCCACAAAGACGACAAGATGCCCCCTCAAGATGCTCCCGCCGTCCGCTTCGCTTCTTCCGTCGAAGAGATAACGCCAACCGTCACCACGACATCACCCACCGAGACTCTTTTTCCCACCGACGCTGACGCCGCTACCGGAGACGGCGAAGAGTCCTTGGCCGAAGTAACGCCCGATCAGATTAGAGCTCTTTCAAAGTCCCTCCAAGGTGCGCCGTTGCAGCAGCGCCGGATGAACGTCTTTGGCTTCGAACCATACTCACTACCTGCATCACGCGTAAGTAGTCTGTCCGTCATAACCCTCCAATTTATGCGTGGTCTCGGAGCTTCTTGACGTTGTTTCCTGTTGGCTTGGGCGTCCGCCCTGATGCCTTGTGTTTCAAAGTCTCATACCTACCTTACCCCTCCACCCAACCAACACTGCCTCGACGTTCAGACTTGTCTTCCCCAAACATCT